TATGTTTTTTGTCAAGATTATAAAAAGGTTTGATTCCAAAAGACCGTAATGCATTTTGTAATATGACACTTGACACTGCCCCACTAAGGGGGAGGAGAACGCCAAAAGATTTTAAAGTACCATTTCCATGGTAACGGAATGTCGGATTTCAAAATGGTTTTCACAGGATGAATCTTGGGCTTCTAAGCTGTCAAATTATATATAATTTATGATGATTACTAAAATATTTGATAGAGAAAAAGGACAACAAAAAAAGAGCGCCAAGCGTCCCACAGGTGGGACGGTGACAGTTATGGGGATATATATATATATATATATATTTAAACTATTTCATTTCATCATTTTTTGTTGTGAGATCAGTATCGTGTATTGAACTGAATCGTGAAATGAGTGTATTGTTACACCCCTAGTCAGTGCAATAAACCGGATGTTATTATTCAGGTAGCTAGCAATAAATATGTCGACAGTTTAACTAACTTTAACCAGATTGATTGTCCCTTGATTATCCATAATTGAAACTAGCTGTAGAAGTAAACTCTTCACACTAATGTAGCGGCCTTCAAATCAACACTGATCATTTAGAACATACCTGTGACGCTTCACGAATTGCGCTTTTAGACATTTCAGAACACAACAAAACCGAGCTAGCTTAAGCGTTTACATTCACATATTTATGTTTCAGGCCTACATAAGCACGCTTTTCCAATGTTTTGTTTGTTTTCCGACATACGTGTGCATGCAGAGGTTCAAGGTTGATCCATGTATAGTGTGTGCACTTCTGTTACATGTTTGTATAGAAGGTTTTTCTGGCTTTGTATTCACAAATCAAAAACATCTGGGCCGCTTGCTACCTCTCTGTGAACCCTGACCCTACATAATCCCCACAGAGGGGTCAATATCTCACAACGTCTGTGTGTGTGCTACCTACTGCCATACCTCAGCCCAAATGAGCTAGAGACCAGCTCCAAATGGTGCGCAGAAACACTGCTAAGATAACATTTATATATACACTTGGATGCCGAATAAACTTGTTTCTGTCTTTTGGTTTTATATTCCAGCTAAATTGCATTGTGCAGTGATTGATTTGCTGAACGACGGAGTAGAGCTGTCTGATTTTGATGTGGCCAGTGATGGCTTGTTTTCTCACGTGTGATCGTGTTACTGAGAGATAGCGGGCAATAACTGTCCCATTGGACTTCTCATGGCTTCTTTACTGTAATCATGCTAACCCAAATATTTGTTTGGTTTCTCCAGGGAGAGAGAGGGGTCCCCGGCCCTTCCGGACCTCCAGTAAGAACTTATTATCATGGCACTTTCTCTCATGGTTCTTATGTCTGAAATATATTTGTCTGTGTTAGTCTTTTTCGCTCTTACCCTTGATCACTCTTCATCTGTCTTTCTGTCTATCTCTCTTTCAAAGTACTAAAGCAGACATCCTATTGTGATTATCCACAAAATCAGGTTTAGAAGATTTATTTTTCTTGAAAACAGACCCAAAAAACTCTTCTACCCCTTGCAAACTTTGCTGTGCCTTTTTATAATAACTGGAAAAGGGCTGTGTGCCACAACAAAACTAGATTACTTTGTAATAATACTTACATATTATATTTATGTATGTGTATGTTTTTTTAATTTAATAAAATTCTGTTAATAATAGAAATAAATAGTAATAGTAAAAATGATAATTCATTGACACATGTATGTGATTTCGGTATTATGAATTTTATTGTACATTGGCTTTGTATTCACAAATCAAAAACATCTGGGCCGCTTACTACCTCTCCGTGAACCCTGACCCTACATAATCCCCACAGAGGGGTCAATATCTGTGAGGTACCTACTGCCATACCTCAGCCCAAATGAGCTAGAGACCAGCTCCAAATGGTGCGCAGAAACACTGCTAAGATAACATTTATATATACACTTGGATGCCGAATAAACTTGTTTCTGTCTTTTGGTTTTATATTCCAGCTAAATTGTATTGTGCAGTGATTGATTTGCTGAACGACGGAGTAGAGCTGTCTGATTTTGATGTGGCCAGTGATGGCTTGTTTTCTCACGTGTGATCGTGTTACTGAGAGATAGCGGGCAATAACTGTCCCATTGGACTTCTCATGGCTTCTTTACTGTAATCATGCTAACCCAAATATTTGTTTGGTTTCTCCAGGGAGAGAGAGGGGTCCCCGGCCCTTCCGGACCTCCAGTAAGAACTTATTATCATGGCACTTTCTCTCATGGTTCTTATGTCTGAAATATATTTGTCTGTGTTAGTCTTTTTCGCTCTTACCCTTGATCACTCTTCATCTGTCTTTCTGTCTATCTCTCTTTCAAAGTACTAAAGCAGACATCCTATTGTGATTATCCACAAAATCAGGTTTAGAAGATTTATTTTTCTTGAAAACAGACCCAAAAAACTCTTCTACCCCTTGCAAACTTTGCTGTGCCTTTTTATAATAACTGGAAAAGGGCTGTGTGCCACAACAAAACTAGATTACTAAACTACGCCGAAAGAACATGATGCTGCACCCTCAGTTATATATATAAATTAAAAAATTCATTTTACAAATAAATTATATCTCAATTTAAATTAAAATTGGAACAAAAAGTTATTGAGCTATATCGTAATTTTATATTTATGTATGTGTATGGTTTTTTTATATAATAAAATTCTGTTAATAATAGAAATTAATAGTAATAGTAAAAATTATAATTCATTAACACATGTATGTGATTTCGGTATTATGAATTTTATTGTACATTTAAATAACTTGTGACTTTTTATGTAAAAGCCAACTCATGATGTTTTTGGTTTCTAAAATAAAATAAAACAATTTAATAAACAAGGCTTTTTTTTCTAACCATATGTATTTGCAATTGTTGTATTTGAAATGAATTATGCATGCAAAATCATCAGTCTTGCCATTTAAATTATTATCAATTCTATTTATAAATTATTTATTTATTTTATTTGTTTGTTTGTTTTGTATTTCTTTTGCAGATTTTTTTCTTATTTTCAGTGATTTTGCATGCATTATTTTGGCAAAATCTGTAGAATGCTCAAAATAGAAATAAATGAATAAAAACCAATAAAGAAATAAAAATGTATATTAATTTAACTGGTAAGACTTAAAAATATTTACCAAAATATTTTGATTTTGCAGAAGTTTTCTAAGTCTCACCATTTAAATTGTTATAAATTCTATGTTATGTTTTATTATTTATTTATTTAGATTAATTAAGCCTATTTGATGGCAGGGTAGACAACTGCAAGGCTGCTATGGTGCAACAGCAGTGTACACAGTGTTTAAAGAAAACTAAACTCATAAAAAGTTACTGTAAATCATGTACACATGAATTCTCATTCTTAAGAACTAACTTCTGTGTTTAAAGTATCCAAGCTCAACAGGAAGGGAGGAACAGCTCACTAAATTAGACGTACAGAAAGACAGAAAGTGTGTTGAAAATGTGAATCATCTTTATTTTACATGATTGCTTAATGCCCATTTCTGTTAATCCTGTGGGTGTGGAACAACTCTTAATCCAGTGACCTGGAATTTGATGTGATGATGAGTGTGTTTGTGTTTTCAGGGCCCGCCAGGATCCTTTGACTTCCTGTTACTCATGATGGCTGACATTCGTAACGACATCGCAGAGTTGCAGAACAAAGTGTTCAGCAGACCATTACACTCCGTAGAGGATTTCCCATCTGCCCCGGACAATTGGAGGGACACCCAGGAAAGCCTGGACTTTGGCTCTGGAGAAGACAAACCCCAGATCCCGCCTAAGAGCACCAGGAAAAGGAAATTGCCCCGGACCTTAAATAATCCAGATTGGCCAATTTAAGATTGCCCTCAAAGAGTGCCAGAACTGAAAGAAAGAACTGATTGTAGAGAGAATGAGTAGTGTAAATATCACAGAACGACTATTTAATGTATACTCGCTGAAAAAGGCTGAATGTATTTCATTGTACGAAATTTCTATTTTTATAATATAAAGGATGTACATTTTGTATTTTGGGCATTTTGAACGTGTCATTTGTCTACCAAATAACTAACAGGTTACTTATACCATAGTTCTCTTGTTCTAGGGCCAGATTCACGGAACATTAAGAATCAAATTCTTCTTAACTGCTGATTTGCTGATATTTTCTAGCTTAAGAAAAAAAAGTTAAGAATATTTTGTAGTTCCAAAAATACTTCTAAAAATATTTGTAAGGTTTCTTAAGATACCACTTAAGAAGAATTAAAATTCTTTAAAACAAATGGCCTAATTTTATTCTAATTAATATATAGAATGTGCAACATACTACAGTTCAAAATGTTGTGGTCAGTCATATTTTATTATTATTATTTGAAATAATACTTTTATTCAACAAGAGTGCATTAAATTGATCAGATTAAAAAAATTAAACTGATAAAAAAAAATCTGGTTTAAATAAATACCGTTCTTTTATATTCATTAAAGAATCCTGAAAACAATGTATCACAGTTTCCACAAAAATATTAAGCAGCAACTGTTTTCAACATTGATAATAATAAGCAATGTTTTTTTAGCACCAAATCATTATATTAGAATGATTTTAAAATGTTGCATTCAGTTCAAACCCATGATTCAGCAATAATAGAGGCCCATCAGTGTTTTCAATAGCTCTGTTTTTCTTGGTTGTCCTCACCTATTAAACACCTTGCCCTCTCTCTCAACTCTCTTCTTTGTATTTTCCCCTCGCAGTTCATGAAGCGGTTCACAGCTATGGAACGTCATTGCCATTTTACCTTCCTGTTCGCTCATTTATCTCTGAGGAAAACAAGATCATGGATGGCTGCTTCTGCATCTTCTGTAGGTTCTGTTTTCCATAGCTGTTGACATGACTAAGGAACTCTAGGAGAGACTGTCTGTTAACGATCTGCAAGCCTTGTAAAACTGGAACATGGGGTAAAATAAAAGTGGGCCGAATACCGATCCCTGCGGAATACCAGTGAGTACTTGGTGCTTTCACCTTGACCTTACATTTCCAGTGTGAGAAATGATTTAGAGGTAATATTTGCTATAATTTTTTATTTCTTATTTAACTGGACTTATTGGTTAAGACATTTTTATACAAAAATAAATCATATAATAATATACAGTACAATTCAAAAGTTTGGGTTGGTAAAATGTTTTAATATTTTAAAAATATATATATTTTATGCTCATCGTATTTACATTTATTTGATCAAAAATACAGTAATATTGTGAAATATTATTCTATAAATATTATTATTAAAATTTAAAATAACTCATTTCTATTTCAATATATTTTAAAATATCGTTTATTCCTGTGATGACAAAGCTGAATTTTCACATTTAATTGTCACATGATCCTTCAGAAATCATTATAATATGCTGATTTGCTGCTCAAGAAACAATTCTTATTATAATCAATGTTGAAAACAGTTGTGCGGCCATGCCACCCATCACACTGGAAATGCAAGGTCAGGTCAAGGACATTGAATTCCGGGTTAATATTTCAAACATAACCTGTATATAATCTAAAATCTGTTTGTCTTATGAACATTTATCATGGTTGAGGTTGCAGTACTAAACTTGTTAATTCTTCCATTTGAAGCTTGGAAATCAGATCCAAACACGCTTGACTGACGTCTTACCCATATTCCCACCGCCGGGCACCTGTCTGATTCTGGCACTGTTTTCCCCTCCACATTTCATGGTTAAATTGTACTGATCCCTGTGAGAGCCGCGCAGTAATGGCCCATGAAGAGAAACTGTCTGAAGTAACCAGCCAACAACTGCGGCCAGTTCACCCTGTAGGCCATTTATACAGACTTCATCAAAACATTGTTTTCCAATGAGACAAGAACAACTTGAGCTGTGAGTACTGTGTGAACGCAAAGACAATATTTTGATTTGACTAAGTGAAACGATTAATATGAAAGTTTGGAAATGGCCAGTAAGTTTACATTACCTGTTATTAAAGAATGACGCATAAGAAGAATTAGATGTCTATTTTTGTGGTACTTGATCTCCTTTGCAAATTGTGAATGAAAAATAGATCCATGTTACACAGTTTAATTGCAAAATCAGTGTTTCCCATGCCATTTTGTCTCACAGTATATTTACCATTTTCATAATTCATGATGTAAATATAGCTGAAACGTGAGGACCTTGATTTTTGTTTTTTTTGTTTTTTTTTTAGAAATTTTGCACATTCATTTGAAATACAATAAAAATATTTATAAAAGGACAGCCAGGAATAATGTTAAAATAGTCAATAGAAAGTGAATTAGAAAGTCAGACTAAATATAGCCTACAGAAAACCAACAGAGAAAAATATTAAAGTTTAAACTGTACTCTTTAATCAAAATAATCACAAATAGTGACAGATAATCACTCATATAAACAAAACAAATGTGTGCATTCCCAGCCTGGATGTTGTTGTTGTGTGTTGTGTTTTGTTGTGAGTTATGTGTTATGTGTTATGTTCTCTGCCTGGCTTTTATTTGATTTCATTTTATTGCTTTTAAAAAATATTCATATATTTTAGCCTGGGTTTTATTTTATTTTACTTTACAAGTGCGTGTATATACTCCACCTGGATTTGATTTGGATTCATTTTATTGCCTTTTTTATTGCACACTCTTTGTTGTGTGGCTATTTAACCACTAGATGGCAGCAGTGGTGTATTATAATGCTGTATAATATTGCATACAATGCTGTGAGGTGAGTGTTCCACAAGATGGCAACAACAACACACAAGCTCCAGACTTTGTGGTAGAACAACTGATTATGACAAACCTATAAATGAAAACTGGTGAAAAGTGATCATACTAATGTGTTGTGACACTGAGTAAATTTATCCCTTCATTTTAGTACTGCACAGGTCACCGAGTATGATTATCCTTTGTGTCTTCATTTCCCGCCTCCTAATGAGATAAATAATCAGGTGGAGTGTGAAGTAAACACAAAATGCCTTTTGTAAGCACTTCACTCACTCAATTAAATCTAATAAATGTAAAATAGAAAATAGAGGCAGCTTGAATTAGTGTTTATAGCCTCTCATGCCACCTTTCCAAACACATTCAGTCTGGTTGAACTATTTACTTTCCTTGATTTGTTTTAGGCCTAGTTCTAAAAATAAGCCAAAAACATGGAGCAATTGCTTATTAACTATTAAAAGGGGCTCTTACTTTGACATTTCCTAGCCTCTGGTTATTTTGGATGGAGATGTAGCTGACTTGAACTCCCCCTTTCCATATCAACCCATTCACGAGGGTTACTTGGCACAGCGAAGCTCATTCAGGACTGCCTTGGCTTGCTTTCTGAGTGGCACAATCCCCAAATATCAATCCATGTTCAGATCTGGTCCAAATTATCTCCTCTCAAAAGCCTGACACCCTTTCCATGTCTCTCTTTTGAGAAGTTTTGCGCCCCAGTTCCCCAGGCTGTAATTAAAGTCCATCCCTGTTTAGATGTTTCCACTGAAGAAATTATGCCTCCAATGCTGCTGGGAAAATGACTTGATCTGATTCAACATGCTGAAAAGGCTGAACCAAGCTAAGGCAGGTTTGCCGGTCTTGGCAGGTTTAAGCTGGTCTAGCTGGTCTCCCAGCTTGAACAAGCTGGTGTTTAGCTGGCTTAGCTGAATTGAACTAACATGCATGTGTTTGATTACATTGTATTAGCATGTGAACATTTCTATGTTTATAATATATATGTTGATTTTGTGTAATATGGGAATCTTTCAGTATTATGGTATATCAGGGAGCGCGGGGCTAGTTGTCACGTTTTCACTCCAGTGAATATATTTTTAATTTTTTTGAAAGTGAATATGTATATTTAGTTACAGGAAAAAACTATAAAATGTCAATAAATAGAATTTATTGACATTTTAACACCATGTAGTGTGACAATGTGTCTAGCTTGATGGGGTAATTTATTTAAAAAAAATAGATAGTGGTGCCTAATAGAATAGGCACCACTTTAGTACTTTTTTTCATTTAAACTAAAAGTTTAAAACGATAATTCGAAAGTTTAAAAAAATTATTTTAGAATTTACCCACAAACATTTCATTGACTTTTGTTGTATACAAGACATTTTTAAACAGCTCCACAGAAGAAAGTCAGTCATACGGGTTTTTAATGACATGAAGGTGAGAAAATGATAACAGGACTTTTATTTTGGGGAGAACTGTCCCTTTAAGAGATAGAAATGCTGCGCTAATAAAGTTATTAATGAAAGTTATTCTCTTACACAATAAGTGATGTCATCAAGTAAATTTTGGGCCAGTGACATTTAACGCATTAACGTTATTAACCCAAAAAGAAAAAAAAAACGGCGTGAAACAACCAAGAAGCTCTTAAGATTAGAAGAAGAGGGGCTGGATGGGGAGGAGCTAAACAGGACATCATTCAGCCCGAAATCCCATCTGGAAGTAATTAATGGACAGTGTACAAGAGCCAGCCTTAAAAGATTTCAAATATTTGCTGAAGTGCCCCTTGTTCCTAATTATATCTCACTGGCTGCCTCCCTCATTATTTAGAACTGCCCACTATGAAGGAAAAAACACAAGTGAAAATGAATGCTGCCCCTGCCCGGGCCCCATTCAAACAGCATCAAGCTAATGCTTAATGACAGATCCTGAATGAGTCACTGTGCTGGAATAAAAGTCATTAATGAGGTAATTTTATTAACTGTGCTTGCTTGCCCGGCCTCATCGGTATGGAAGAACGGGAGGGGAAAACTTCCAGGCGAACATCAGCGACGACAGTGGAAATTAGGGTTTCACTCCGCACTAATTAATGCCTTTAAGAGATTAAATGCAAGCGCCAAATTAACTGCCCCAAAAACCTTAATTGAGGGGAAGAAATACATTGTTACCCTCCCATGTAATTACAGGACAGTGCAAATTCAATTTTAATGAGGCGAAAGCCACTCCTTCAGCTCATTTTTCCCCCTCTTCAATCCACAGAAAGAAAGAGAGTGCTAGTGAAAGCTTGCTTTTGTTGAGACCTAAGTTAAAGGAAGCACCGGCAGGACAAAGGCCGATTGTGTGCAAGCCCAACGCTTTAGAAGCCGTAAACAGGTATAGAGGCTGAATAGCCCTCCTTCTGAGACTCCTGGGAGGCCTGGCTTCCCATCTCCACAACACTGGGCTCTTAGAGAGGTAGAGAAGGAGAAACAAGGTGAGGAGGGTACATTCGGCGCTGAAAGGGCCCCAATGGGATTTTGGCCATGTTGGATGAGGAGTGTTTGAGGCCAGGCACAGTAACAGATGAGACTTTCTTGGACAAGTTGAACACCGTGTGTGCTGAACACCAGCACTTTGAGAGCAGACAGAGCAAAAACTCCAAGTTCCTCACAGACCACAGCCTACCACACAACTGCTTCCGCATCCAGCACTACGCTGGCAAGGTGAGTCCATAGAGTTTCCCCATTTCAACATCCCTTAAGCTCTCGCTCATTTTTAGTTTTTAGCTTTACATACAATACTATATAAACCGTGCATCACATGCTCACAATACTTTTAGATACAGTGTTGTATATGAATTACATTTAAGAATGAATGACGTGTTAACGAATGGTTGTCACACTTATGATTCATGGTGTGAATAGTGAACAAGGATGTCTTAAACCTTTTATAGTCTTCTGCTAAATTGTGGAGAAGATCTCAGTTCATTAAAGGATAGCCCACATGCAACAGTCTGTGGAGTTGCATTGATGTTTTTACATTTACATTACTCTACAAAAGATCTACAAAAGCAACCATACATCTTATCCATTGCAAAATTGGCAACAATGTAATTGGGCACATGCCTTTTATACATGCAAAATTTGGTAAGTGTTCTTTGCCCATAAACTGAGTTATAGCTCTTCAAAATGACAAATAATAATGATGATGGGAGAAGCCAGAGGGATCCAGTATACACTAATCTGAGATATGTACATTTGTAAATGCTTTCCAATACACATTGTGTGTTTTCAGAAACAAGCACATTGTAAAGTAGAGTGTAAAGAAGAGTTATTGAACGTAATATTCTGTATACACAGGTGCTGTATCGGGCGGAGGGATTTGTGGATAAAAACAATGACCTCCTCTACAGAGATTTATCCCAGGCCATGTACAAAGCCAATCACAGCCTGATAAAGATTCTCTTTCCTGAGGGAAACCCAGCTAAAGTGAACCTCAAGCGGCCCCCTACAGCTGGATTCCAGTTCAGAGCCTCAGTTGGAACACTCATGAAGAACCTTCTGACCAAGAACCCCAACTACATCAGGTAACAATCACAAAGCTTCTGACTCTGACACTGACCTCATTATGACATAACCATATATATATATATATATATATATATATAATGTTACAAAAAAAATCTATTGCAAATAAATGCTGAATAAATTAACATTTATTTCATCAAAGAATCCTGAAAAAAATGTATCATGGTTTCCACAAACATATTAAGCAGCAAAAAAAAAAGTTTATCATTGATAATAATAGAACCATTAATAATGCATCGCCAATAACAACTGATAATAATTAAGCAGCAAATTAGCATATTATATTACACTGGGCTCTTAGAGAGGTAGAGAAGGAGAAACAAGGTGAGGAGGGTACATTCGGCGCTGAAAGGGCCCCAGTGAAGCGGGCGCTCGCTGTTGGGCCGCAGCCTCCCTCCCGCTCTCGTTGAGTTATCTTTATACAGGTTTTGTCTCTTCTAATTGAAGCTGATGGGTGACTAATTGGTAGCTTTTTTACAAAGCGCACTACTTAAGCCACGGCAGGCCGAGGGAGACAGCATGAGCGGAGTTAATGAGAGGTTTTATACAAATAAAGGTCTTGAACTAGGCCCTCCATGTTTGCAAGGGGGGCCACAGAGGAAAGTTGAGGATATCCTTTTGTCTTAAATTTCCCTTCTTCTTCTTCTTTTTCCGTGCAGGTATCTGAAAAGGGGGGACATTCAAAGGTGGAGGAGATGGCGAGCACTTAAAGAGGATAAAGGAATCCATTCGATATTGTTTGGAACCTTTGGTTTTCGTGTGTCGGTAAATAAGAGCAGGGCACGGCCTCTCCGGTGAATGCTCTTTAGTTCGGACAGATAATGAGAGAACACTCTACATACACACACAGGACCGTGTTGAGCCACTTTAAGGTAATGTTTGAGTGCTCAAAACACCACACACATGCACTACGGCTTTATGTAGACACACACTCTCGAACACACTTGCATATAAAATAGGTGCCACAAGATGTCGAAGAAGTATGTACTAACACTTCGTTTAATTGGCACATATTTGAAAATACTTTTTCTAATTGGTTATTTTATTTATATTTATTTAATGTTTAATTTTATCATCTATATTTATTTTCTAATCTAAAATAATAAATATATAATATTTCTTACACTTCACTTAACACTATAACACTTAATGGCATATCATTTAATGTACTGTTTTACTTATTTGCAGTTGAAATAGAAATTTTGTAATATAGATAGCTTTTTTATTATATATAATCCTTTTTTCCAACATCAATTTAATTAAAACTACATTTAAAGGTTAAAATGATTTAATAAGGGAAATGTGTATTGTTAGATTATTATTATTAATATTTTAAGTTGATTTATTAGTCCTGCAAAGTGCCTTTAAAGTTTAAAATGTATTAACAAATGTATTTAATTTAAAATGTCTATTGTTAAATACAGTTTTCTATTATCATCAACATCATCTTACACTAAATTTAATCCCCTATTAGCTTTAGTTGCTATTTAATATTATTATAAAATATTTGACACTACTTTAATCTACTTTTTCACTACTTTTTGCTTTTAAAGGATCAAATTTATAAATAAGAAAATTATATATTTATATATATTTTTTTAGATACTGTTTTCTATTGTTATTATTATTAATACATATATTTACACTATTTAATCCCCTATTAGATTTCTTTTTTAAAGTTCAATTATAGTCCTGCAAAGACTTCTTTTTTTTTTTTTTTTTTTATGCATGTATAATAATAAATATGAAATAACCAATAAAGGTGTTGTGGATGATTGCCAGGGAGTTACTATGTGGTTAATATTAATATTAATATTAATGGTGTTCTGATTCCAAGGTTCATGGTTTGTCACATACACATTTATTTGTCAGATATGGCGACTCTGTCATCTCTATCAATGCAAGTCTATGGGACTTTTTTCCAGCTTGCCAGTTAAAAGTGCACATCAGATCTCTTGTAAAATGAATAGCACTTCTCTTTTCAACAAGCCATGTGTTGTGAGGAAGTGTACAAATGGTACAGGACAAGTTACATACGGACGTTTGACGCGTATAGTTTTGGGTTAATTCAAATATCTAATCCTTATGTATACAAAATAATGAACAAAAGCACAAGTAAGTATAAAAATGCAGTTTAAAATAGATGGAGTTTAGCATGTCACTCTGCTTTGCTGAGTCATCATGTCAGCTGTATGTCAGTGTAAATTATCCACTTTTGATCAACATAAAAATAATTTTTCTACTCTTATATGTAACAAAACACATAACCCCCCAGTTTCTTTTAGCTGTCAGGGTCAGCTGATGTTAACCTTAGAGTGAGGTCATCCCCTCATTAGCCCTCAGCTATTAGCATAGAAAATGAATGGTGTGGGATTATAACAGTTTGGGACGCCCCTATGAAAAAGACACCTCAGGAGCCCCTGCTCTCCATTTGGCTCTGATCCCTTCCACATGGTGCTAGTGCTGCATTACCACTGACCTGAGAGCAGGGGGTCGATCATTGGTCAGAATGACAGGGTGGCATCTACCTGATGCAGGCCACAGTGAGAGATCACGCCAACCATGCAATCTCATAAAGATAGCACTCTTTAAGACCTTAATTACAGGTTCACTAGCAGGATAAGAGGACGTGCTGAGAGTCTTTTGTTCTGTCAATCAAGGTGTGTGTACTGAGAAGGAAAGACAGTCTAAATACGTCATATAAGTAGTCAAGTGGTCAAGTGCAAAGACCACAAGTGTGGGTATTTGGACAAGGCATTCTTATCCGAAGCTTTATAGCACATAACTTCCTGTTCCTGTTGAATGCTTTGATATAGCACTGTACAGAACTGTGAATATATATGTAAATTGTGCATGACAGCTGTACCATATAATATATTATTTAAAAATAAAAAAACATGATTAAAAAACCTTTGACTACGAAAAGTATATATACATGGCACTAAACATTTACATATTTACACACAAATATGTATATAAATGTATATATGTAAATCTATCTCTCTCTCTCTCTCTATATATATATATATA